GACAACAGTAAATGGAACTTCCTACTTTGGATCGAGAGAGGAAAAGGGGCGACATGATTATGCCGTTCAACTTAAACAGGAAGAGTGAAGTTAGATAAAGATGACTTTATGATTATGATTTGAGGACATAATGACAAGTTGAATGTAAAAAGAGGCAAGAAAGATGTCAAAGTTTAGTTTCCCAAAAACAACTATTGAAATATATTACAGTCTCTTCAATAGCGTGGCTCGTACCAAAACCCCTTGATCTTAGCCCTTTTCCCGTACTGAAACAACTAGGTAATAACTAGATAAGAAAACACAAACAATGTACGTAACATTTAACCCATATATGTAGGAAGGTCCTGACGGCTGAGAGAATGTTCAAACAGCTTTATTTTAATTGTTTGCGTTTTGCATTTTTACACTGTCATCTTACACTTTACGGCTTAATATGTCCCGGGCCATCAATGAATACCGAAAGGGCACCAAAGGAAGTGCACTGGCATTATTCCGTCTTTGGTGTCATGTACTTACAATAAGGCGTTACATGAAATGGCATAACATTGACACTGGAAAGCTTCGTGATAAGGGATTATGTAATTCTGATGTCTTAGGTGATTACTAATGGAGTATGTGCCACTTATTTTTATTATATATATTTTTTTATTTCCTATTAAACAGTAGATGGAATGCGCAGTGTATATGGCCGATGAGAAATAAGTAGAAAATAAATGGATCTAATTAGATTCAGTCATGATGACAATGACTTCACTGTGACTGGGAGCGACCACAACAACGATTATAAGAATACTAAAGAATTCCCGATATAAAATTTCCTTTTAAAGTGAAAAATCCAAACTGATCTGATCAAATGCCCAAGGGCTCCAATCGAAACAGAAATAATACATAAAATTTGCTCGCGTTGTAATATTTCCAAAATTCGCTATAACGATTTAAAAAAAAAATTATCGAAACACAGTACGTTTTGAGTGATCATTGCTGTCTTACTCTTACATTACTGACAATCAAACGCGCCATGTAGAGTGCATACAGTCCGCGGTTAATTATAGACAAGTGTCTTAATATTGGCATAGGTCCCCCTGCGTTGTTTATCATACGACATCCGGAGAAAAAAATCACAAAGGGAAGGAGGGGGGTGGAGGTGATGGGGGTAAAGGAGAATAAAGGGAGAGAGAAAGAGAAGGTAAAAGGAGGGAAGGAAAACGAAGAAAAGGGAGTAAGGAGAGGGAAGATGAAAATATGGTGAAAAGGGGAGCTGAAGAGGGATGAGGTTAATGCAGAAAGACAAAAAGGGGAAGAAAGGAAGAGGAATGGGGAGGAGGAAGAAAAGGATGAAAGAGAATGAGAAAAAGGGGGAATGAAGAGAAAACGGGCGAGCAGGACAAGGAAAAAAGGAGAAAGGGGAAGAATAATGATAGAGGGGAGGTTATAGGGGAAAAGGGAGAATCGGGAAATAGGTAAATGGAGAGAGACAGAGATAGAAAGGGGGGCTGCAGTGGCGTGCCGAGGTTTGGTGATGCCCGGGACCAACTCCTGGATTGTATACCCCATAGACTCAAACATAAGGCCTAGTGCTGAGAAATATTATGAGAAAGGTAAATATTTTTGTATATGTAAACAGAGATGAAAGACGAAATAAACAAATTATTCGATTTAACTCACTTCCCTCTCCGACTGGATTTCATTTGGACGCCCTTGGCTACCGCCCCGTCGGCTCCCTCCTCGGCTCGCCACTGAGGGGGAGATAGATAAAGGCCTAGTCTAATCTAGTGCCGTGTCATCCTGTGACGTTGGCGGTTTTGCCTTTCCACTTCTTTCTGTTCTTCGCAGAGGTTAAGACGTTGATCCTGGTGGGGGTGTTCAGCGCCTCAACCAATGGCCTCGAAATACGTTCTTCTTTGCTTTCCTCTCGGTCTTTTGCCCTCAGTTTTCCCCGTTGTTACCAAACATTCAAGCGTTTCTTTTCTCATTACATGACCGAAAAAAAAAAAAAAATGTTTTCGGTTCAGTCCTTTCAATAATGATCTTTGCACTCCAGCTCTTCTCAACACGTTTTCGTTTGCCACCCTTTCAATTAATGGTATCTCCTCAGGAACCACATTTCCGTAGCTTCTAGCATTTTCTTCATCACTTTGTTGATTGTCCAAGTTTCACTCCCATACAGCAGGACAGACCACACGTAACGTTTCATCACTCGTACTCTTGTCTTGATATTGATACTCCTGTTATTTTTTCAGTATGTTACCCATCTGCTCAAAAGCTGCTTTCGCCATTCCGATGCGTGTTTTGATTTCAATTTCACATCTCCCATCCGATGTTATTAACTTCCTAAGTAACAAAATTGGTTCACCTGCATAATTTGTTCTTCATTATAGACCCTGTAACTAGGAACCTCCGCATTATTCAGTTATACCAAATAAAAAAAAAAATCTTGCTGATTGAGAGGCCCATCTCTGCACTTTTCCCCACCACCAAATCTAAAAGATGCTGAAGTGTTTCACTCAAGTCACCTAAAAGGACTTTATCATCCACGTATCTTAGGTTGGTAATGCTCACGCCTTCCTCACTCTCCATGTGCCGCATTATCATCTGTACGATCCAAACGGGTCTGGTAATGCCACACATCATTGTCTAACTCCTCAGTGGATCTCAGCATATTTGCTCACGGTATTATCTACTGTGATAGCTGCAATTTGGTCCCAATACAGGTTTTACAGTATCTCAATATCCTTAGCGTTAACATCCAACCTTTCCAGCATCTCCATCAGCGGTTCGTGTTTCATTTTAACAAATGCCTTAATGTAGTCAATGAAACATGCATAGACGTTTTTTCTGCATTCCTGGTTCCTTTGTCAGGCATAAAACCATATTGTTCTCCAGCGATCTCTCCCTTTGTTCTGCCACGGATTCTCCCCAAAAGAATCTTTAAGATCAGCTTCGTGATGTGGCTCATCAGGCTTATTGTGTGATATAATTCACACTTCTTTGCTCCTGCTTTCTTTGGCAGAGCAATAAACACTGATGTACAAAGTTCTTTTAGTATCCACTCTTCATCATAGATAGTGTTGATAAGTCATGTCATCATTTTGATTCGAGTTTCGTCTAAGGTTTTGATGATTTCGGCTGCGATATCGTCAGGACCCACTGCTTTCTCGTTCGGCAGTTTCGTCCTCTAGGATAGGATCTTCCTTGCGTTTCATGATAGCTGGCTCTGTTCCTCTGTTGTCAGCAAACAGGTCCGAAGTATACTCTTCCCCTCTTTAAGAGGTCTTCTTTTTTCCATCAATGTCTTGCCATTCTTAGCCTCAATGCAACTTGATGCATAACATGACCTCTGTTTGTTGGTGACTTGTTTGACCTTTTCATGCATTTTTTGTGAGTTTACTTCCTCAGGTTGTTCTATTTCCACACACATATCGTTCAGAAACTTGTCTTTCGTTTCCTGGCACTTTCTCCTGATCTTGTTCAAGGCTTGTACTTTTCTATGCTATGTTTCATTCGCTTCCGTTCGTCCATTAGTAACCGAACCTCCTCCGTCATTCACTTCTGTTTTGACTTCCTCTCCACTGTCGGAATCACTTCCTCCGCTAATTTGGTCAGTGGTTCTCGCAGTTTTGCGAAGAGATTATTACTGCATTCTGTTTCGTTTTGCGACAAGTTCAGACCTATTCGTTGTTGTACTCTATGATTGTAGGTTGCTTTCAACTCTGCACTGTGTCTAAGCAGTTGCAAGTTCTTCTTCTTTCGTCTGCGGGTTGTGAGTAGCTTCTTTGAATTTTAGTTAACATACTACAGGTACATGATCGCTGACACAGTCTGCTCCGGGGTAACACTTCGTTTGCATTCCTGAATGTTCTGTTTATTGTAACATAGTCAATCTGGTAATAACCTGTCCATTTTGCTCACACCACTCCGTCCATCTGTCTCCTCTCATTTTTTATTCCTAGACCATGGGGACCCCTAAATCTTGGTATTTTCCTTTCCAAACTTTAGCATTCAGTTCTACTACCACCTCCTGGGATTTACAGTATTTCAGCGTTGTATCCAAATCGCCATAGAATGCACTAGTATCCTCTTCTGAACTGTCTCTCGTTGGCGTGTATACTTGTATCAGCGAGAAATTGTGTGGCTTCACCTTGATTTTGACAAAGATTATTCGATCCGATACTGTCCAATGGCCAATCAGTGCCCTTGAAACTTCTTTACTGAGCAGCTTACCTACACCCTTTTCATATTTTTTGTCATGCCCTAAGTATACGCATATCTGGTCATCTCCTGCTTCGCATTGTCCAATTTTCCTTTCTGAAGCATAGTTTTCACATTCCATGTGGCTATTTTGAAATTCTTTCATAAGTTTTGATAAGGTTTTTGTTGGATAACGACCTTAGCAGCCTCCTTTCTGTCACCGCCGGACGTGTCTCTACCTGTCAGATCAGTCGTAGCTTCGTTTATGTCGTTAACTTGCAAATCTATTGACTTGGAACAGAAATGTGGTGAGGGCCCCACTCCTATTTCACGTGGAATGCCATCAGAAATGGAGCCTGTCCTTCTGATGCCTGTAGGTCATCCCGTGCCTCGCAGTGCCTGAGTAATGCCACCCGTAAGTTAGCCAGTTGCTGGTTACCACTAATACCAAATCACCATGCACCGGGGTAGCTCCCTGGTCTGCTGATCCGGTTCATCCGTAACCGCTGCTGCCTAGTGACTACCGTGATAAATGGAACCCTGGGCCGGGTGGAAATGGGAGTAGTGATGACTAAGGAGTAACTACATTCTCACCACAGCACCAGATCTCCCGGACCGATGCCTCACCACCGGATGTAGTTTAACGTCATACGCAGGGCAGATAAAGAAGGAGAGGAAAAAAGGAGGAGATAGATAAAGAGGGATAGGGAGAATCAAGGAAATAGACAAAAGGGGGAGAGGGAGAAAAAAAGGGAGGATAAAGAAGCAGGGCAAAGGGGGAGAGGGGGGGGAAAGGGGAGGATAAAGGGTGG